CTAAATAGGGAAATCATATAAGCAGCCAATGATTATCAAAGTACAACATTGTTCACAGTCAATTAGTTAGTGCTAATGTTGTTTTGCAGTCATACTTGCATGCTAATTCTGGCTGAATATTCAAATTAGCATGGTAAACAATACAGAAACAGTTGAACGAACGTGCAAATATAAAATCAACTTTACCTCAATGTTAAATACTTATCAGATGAGGCTATGCACACGAGATTATATTTTTGTATTAAATTTATTTACTTTTTAATTGTGTACTTCTATAAAAAACATTTTAAAAACATATTTTCATAATTCATCTGCTCAGATAGCTTATAGTCAATTAAATGCCATGTTTATGGATTTAAAAAAACACTTTTCCATGGGTTAAAGTGTGACCAGTTTAATAACAAATAATTCAAATAACAAAATATTCAGTAAAATTATTTTATAATACCTTGGTTATCGCTATTAAACAATTTTAATCACATAAGTTTTAGATCACTTAGATCAGTGGTCACCAAACTTGTTCCTGGAGGGCCGGTGTCCTGCAGATTTTAGCTCCAACCCTAATCAAACACACCTGAACTAGCTAATCAAGGTCTTACTGGGTATACTTGAAACATCCAGGCAGGTGTGTTGAGGCAAGATGGAGCTAAACCCTGCAGGGACACCGGCCCTCCAGGACCAGGATTGGTGACCCCTGACTTAGATGTTAGTGTGTTGGCATCTACAGTACTTTCACTTTCATTATATTAATGAGTCTTCAATTTATTCATCAGAAATGTACCTTTTAAGTTCTGTAAAAGAGCATCAAACCGGTTTGGAGCATCATATTGGCGATCATTTGCCAGGTTAGACAAAAAAAGTAGGGGTGTCAGAATGAATTGTTTCTTTGGTGCCCCGCGATGCAGACGCGGACAATTCGGTATTGGTTCAGTAATAATCATAACCGGTTATTATGTAGTGACGTCATTTATCTCATATACGCTATGTCGCCGTAGCTTACTATGGCGAGGGAGGCAAGAGAGAGTATTTACTACTACTTAAAAATGCAGAAACTGTGCACAATTTCACTGCGTGTGTTTTCTGGACAGTCTTTCACTGACACAGCAGAAGCCCCTGTTTCACTGCGATTTAGAGAATGAAAGAAAACTCCGTTTCTCTCTCTCTCACTCGCCCATTTGACCTGCTGGCGCGACTTTTCCTCTCCTCTCGGCTGTTACAGATACTTTTGGATTTTTTTTTCACCGTGTCTATCATGGATCAGCTGTGATCGCCGCTGCCGTTTACCAGTGTCACTCATCTGTGAAAAGCGCGTTAAAGCCAATCGCAGCGCATTCTGTTGAGCGTGTGACCAATCAAAGGGGTGTAAGAACTTGCTAGACAAGCGGGATATATATATATATTTGCTAGAAATGCTTGTGTTGTTTAAAAGGTAAAGTTTATATAAAGTTAATATCTGACTGTTTGTATTAAAGAACTAAATTTTATTTCATATATAAATATATTTATACATTTTAATACAAGAATTGCTGTGCTGTGAAGAAAATATAAAACTGTGTATGGAAAGCATCTTTAATGCACCGAGATATCGAATTGAACCGAATCGATGGCATGATAATCCTAACCAAACCGAACCGTGAGACTAGTGTAGGTTCAAACCTCTACAAACAAGGCTGATCAGGAACATATTGATTAATTTATTTCCCCTCTCTCTTTCTATCTCTCTATCTCTCTCTCTCTACCAGGTACAACAGACTAGCAAGAGAATGGACCCAGAAGTATGCAATGTGAAGACTTAATGGACATTTTTTTAAGTCACGAATCACTGTAAATTCTAGCATCTAAAAGTAAGATTAGGTTATATTATTAAACACATTGTACTGTTAACATTTACCATCTGAAATGACCAATAATAATAGCTGAACTAGTATTTTGAAGGGGACTGTGCACTGCACAAAAAAAAAAAAGACAATAAGCTTTTTATTGGTTTTGTGCATTTTGGTCATCCCCCGCAGTGGTGTTGGGCACTTTGTTTTCTTGTTTCATAAATCCTATTTAAGATTGGCATGATGTTATACAACTACAGTTACCCTACAAGTGGGCAATTAAGAAATTGAAAGCCGTTTTATTGTATCTTTCATTCAGTTGATTACTTTTCTTTTCTTTTAGATATTTTTATTGTATAGTTATGAGCAACTATACTCAATCTATTTTTTCTTTTTTTTATTTTGCATTAAAATTTGTTTAAAAGTGTGCATCTGTGTCTGTGATTTACTAATTTTCCTTCGAAGTATGGGTTTTATTTGATACTTAAAATGATCTCTTGCTAGTCTACAGTGTCCTCTATTAATATATTTATTTTGAAATCAATTTGGCAGGTTATGTCATCGTCTGAAAGTTTTAATTGGATAGTTTTCTGAAATAGTTCCCATATCCATTTCAAACCCTGAACAATAAACAAAACCTAATTAGAAGCTCATTTAGAAATTCCCACAAGTATTCGAGCGATATTTAGCTATGAATGTGGTCGGTGTTTGTAAACAAGTTTTGATTTTCCACAATTACAAGCACAGTCCAGTAGGATTTCACAAATGGTGCCTTTGGGATTTTCTTTATTACCCAGTGCTTTGAGAACACAAATCATACCGTTATGTACAATTTTCCATCTCCATCTTTGTTTGGTAAAGTTTTCATCAGTGTTCTCGTTAGTCACCGAACGTTCAGTAGCACACAAATAGACTTTTATCGTGTGTGATGTTTTTAAGAGAGGCCATACCCGGAAATATTTAAAAAAGGCGAGTCATTCGGAGTTAAAGGGATAGTTCACACCAAAAAATTGAAAGTGGTCCCAAACCTTTTGAGTCTTTTCTTCTGCTGACCACAAATGAAGACATTTCAAAGAAGGTTTAGGTTCACTCATTCAGCCTCAAGTGGTTATAAACTTCTGTTTCATCTGTTGAACACAAAAGATATTTTGAAGACAGGAGGCAACCTGTTAACTTTTGACTTCCATAGTAGGGGAAAAAAACAAATACTATAGGAGTCAATGGTTACTTTCAGCTCTCTTCAAAATATATTCTTTTAGTGTTTAACAGAAAAAAAAGCTTGTCTTGAAACCGGTGAGTTTTTGACAGAATTTAAATTTTTGGGATAAAAATACCCCTTTAATGCAGTGTTTCTCAACCACGTTCCTGAAGGACCACCAGCACTGCATGTTTTGGATGTCTCCTTTGTCTGTCACACTTATCACAGGTCTTTTAGTCTCTCCTAATGAGCTGATGATCTGAATCAGGTGTGTTTAGTTAAAGAGTCATGGAAAATGTGCAGAGCTGGTGGTCCTCCAGGAATGTGGTTGAGAAACACTGCTTTAATATTATTACTTTCAGTGTTAATCCTCATGTATTTATTCTAATATTATTTTAGTGAGGTTATGTGAATGTTTATTGATAAATAAACATTAATTTTCTACAGCTGTCTCACTGCAGAGACTGCATCCTCCGAAGGATGCATTTAAAGTGTGCTTCTTCAAAGACATTCGAAGGCTCCTTCAAATGCAGCCGCTAATGCGTCCTTCATTTTCCAGGTAATGAAGGATACAACCGGTGGATCCTTCGTGGCCTCGAACGTCCCAAGATTAATTGCGCACTGATAACGGCAGGACGTTTTTAAAAGAAAACTCAGGATTCAATTTATGAATTAGGTTTATTTTACTTGGATATCTGAACACATGCTAAATAAACAAAAATAGTATGACAATCCCTAAAAGGGATTTTATAGACAGTTTACTTGTTCATGCTTTTGTAAACCTCGTTTTGCCTTTAAATCGCTTATAATAAGTTTTAAAATCACTTTGAAAAAAAGTAGTTACTATTGTTTATTACCGCTTATTAACGGCAGCTATTACGGTGGCTAGATGATGAGATCTGTCCTCGGCCTGTGTGGACTTCGAAGCACTGACCTTTAAAGTCTGAGTCCTTCAGAGGATGCAGCCTCTGAAATGAGACACTGTTTGTATGCGTAAACTTTGTAATGACTTTGAAGGTGACTCATTGTTGCAGAAAGGCTTGAATTAACTCCACAACAAATACATCAAATAATCATTGGGAAAGTTCTTACTGTAGTATTTCTCACAAATGTTACAGGAGATCTGTTTCCTTCATGTCTGTCACTGTGCTGTTTATCTGACGCAGCCGAGGCGGAGATTGAGGCACACTCTGACAGGAAATTATGCATCAAAGGCACAGGCATCAAACAGCTATGGTGGTTAAGAGCAAAAAGTTGTAAAATTTTGAAAGGTCTAATAAATAATCTGATGGATGTTCTAGCTAAAACTTTACAATCATTCTGAAGACAAAAGATTTATCTTTAATCGTGAAAAAGGGGTCAAATAAGTGCCCTTAAAATTACTGGATATTTTATTCTGTTATTTGAGGTTTATATAGCCTTATTGTTTCTTGTATTGGAGGTCAAAGAATTATAAAAATATTTTTAAATATTTACTGAAAAAAAAATAAAGGTGGGAGTAATAGACATTACTTTTACCTGGTGTGAAACTTACCTAGAAAAATTATTAACTTAAAAAGCATTTTCGAGTGTATCATAGCCAGTTTTACAATACAAAAGAGAATCATGCTTTCGTCAAAGTTAAATGTTTTGTAAAATGAATCAAAAATCGACCCTGAAATCGACCCTGTTACAAAAGAAAACTGTGGTGAAATATAAATAAGGAGAGACGCTTCCGCGCTCTGTACGTCGTGACATCACACGCTGCGTGCCTCTCGGGGACGCACGTCAGCAGCGTGTGCGGGGCGGAAACAAACAGCGAATCGTTTGCAGGACGGCGAGTTCCCGTGCGATATGACTAACTCCGCCAGTATATCGTGTCGATCTTTGTCCTCTGCTCGTTCCGTATCTGCCATCTCCTACCAATTACCGCGGGCGGAGTGTAAACATCTCTGAAGCCAGGAAGTGGGATGTGGCCCAGGTGAAAAGCTCGTTATATGGTCGCGAGCGTGGGCGCCGTGACTGATGGCACGCGATCGGGCACACGCACATCAGGATGACGCGTCGAGGCTGTGCGGTCAATATGTGATTTTGTGCGCGGACAGCGGTCTAGAGAATTAAAGAGCCCTTGCAGAAAAGTCTCTGTCAGCTCGGCATCATAATGGACTCGTCCGTGGCGCTGGGGAGGCTGGAGCTCGCGTGCCCGCGCTCGGTTGTGACCCGCGGCTCGTGTTTACCGGAGGGCGCGCAGAGCTCTCACCTGAACGGCTGCGTGCCGCTCTCTCACCAGGTGGCCGGACACAAGTATGGCGTTGATAAAGTGGGTCAGTACACCTTTCATGTCATTCATTTTCATTCTGTTATTCAAAAAGCGGGCCTGGTTGTCACAGTTATAATTCTAGTGAGATTTAAAGGGGTAGTTCACTCCAAAATGAAATATACTTACTTTTGAATGCCTCCAAACCTGTTTGAGTTTCTTTCTTTTTTTAGCAGATATTATAAAAATGTTCATACTTAAACGATATTGTCAAGAAAGCTGAAAACTATTGACATCCATAATAAGACAAACAAATACGAAAATCAATGGTTACAAGTTTTCAGCTTTCTTCAGAGTATCTTATTTTATGTTTAACAAATAAAAGAATCTCAAACAGGTTTGGATCAAGTATAAGTACATTTAGAGATGATTCTTTTACGATTTTTTTATTTGTCATATAAATGGCTATATAATATATATAACCAACCTATGAAATAAGTCACATCCACTCCATGAATGATGCAATTATTTATAAAGTGCAGATGTAAACACAGGGATGAATTATAACAACATAAATGATTAGGGCCAGATGGAATCTGCGGAAGTTTTTTGCCATTTCTGCTGAGAATTTTAGTAAAAATCTGCGGAATTATTTTGGGAGTATCATAACTAAAACCTTAATTTGCAAAATAAAAAGTAATACCTTTTTAACTTTTATTTAATGTTTAAATCGCAAATCCAATTAGATGCACTTTATTTGGCAAACAAAGCAAGTCTTATAACATCTTTACTAAAAGAAAGAAATATTACTGTACAAACTGCATTGTGCATAAATCAGATGCACATTTTCACATTCGTCAATAATATTACTGTAACTAATAAAAAACAGAATAAATATAGATATTACACACATTTACTCAAGTAAATAAATAGAATTAATTATGGAAAATCTACGGAATTCTGCCGCGCAGATTCCGTGTGGGCCTACAAATGAGCCTGAGAAGTACATGACCGCATATAACCGATGGCTATAGTATGAACAGGAATGTACAAGTGTGGACTATGCAGAGGTGGTGTATATAGAAGAGAATTTGCAGAGATCAGTAAAACAGAGCTGGCTGTCACGTAGCAGCAACTAAACAAAACAGAAAAGTGCTGTGCGCAGTGACAGTCCCGTAGATGTTTAGATAATCGGGTTCTTTCTCAGTAATAATCAAGTACTTTTCATGGACTTAGATTTGACAGTTCTCTTGCCTGGATTTATCATTTATGTTTATGCGTTAAGTATAATTGTTTTATTCTGTCTCTTCTTCCTAAATTAAAATATAAACAATTTTATTTGTATTGATTTTTAGAAAATGCAATGCTAATGTTTTTTTTTACATCAGAATTAAGATTTAAAAAATAAAGTTCCCCCCCAAAATTGGTGAAATACCCCTGCTCTTGAGCATGATTGTCATTTTGTGGGTGAAAAATGCTCTGATTTGACAATATTTTATTTTCATTTTAATGTTCTCAGATTGCTATTATTATAGAGTAAAACCAATATTAAGGCTGGGCGATATGGCAAAAATGTAATATCGATAACTATTATCCATATTGAACAATAACGATATACATTTTGATATAAGTTGTCAATGCTTCCAGATTTAAAAGTGCCCCAAGAATGACTGAAGCCACAAAAAATTAGAGGGTCCATTAATTTAACACATTTTCAGCTGATAGATTTTCGGTGGCCGAAAATTTGATGCATCTCTAATATCAACACACTTTTAGATTCCCATTGTTGCACATTTCTGCTGTGTGATTGGCTCTTGGATCAATGTATAGTAAAAACAAGTTCAGCGTTTATCATTGTTAATGATACATTTTATTGTGATTTAATATAATATTGTTTATCGGCGCAGCCCTAATTAAGCCCATAGTTTTAATGAAACCCATGCAAAACAAACCCAGCAAGTCATTCTAGAAAAACAAATAGATCTTTCTGGATTTTGTATTGAATTAATTAGTTCGCATTTTATGAATTTTAATATTTTATTCCATAGCTCTCTCAACATCTTGTTTGTAAAAAAAATAAATAAAAATTGTTGAATAACTATTGTGGGAATGTGATATTTAACAGATTTTTTTATGCTCTGTAAAACCCAACAGAGAAAATGACAGTCAGTTTGACTTGAATTTTTTAAAATGTTACTTTGACTTCATGAAAAAGAGTTACGATAACTTATAAACTGATTATATTAATTAAAACGATAACCTAATGAGTTATGAAGTAGTTAATTAAATTTTTTTGTGTTAACTCTAATGCTACAACCAATACCTAAACATTTGAGTAGCTTAATAGTTGTTTGGACTTAATCTGTTCTATTTATTGAACCGATTTGATAATTAAAATAATTACTAATAGTAATTGGTAATAGTTGCTGATACTTTAACTGTTTGATTATATAACACAAATAATATATGTGTGCATGACTCACTATACAAGTTTACAGTACTCAGAACATTTTGTTTTTAAAACTTAAACGGTTTGCCGCAATCAGTTTCCTCAAACATTTTGAGTTAATAGAGCTTATTGGGCTTTACAGTGTGCACATTTCTGGACACTTAATAATGAATGATTATAAAGCAAAAAAAACGCTAACTAAAAATGTTTAATTTATTACATTTAAGCGTAAGATTAATGTATAATGTAAGTATTAAAATATTAACTGCTGATTTGCGCAATAAAAAGTGGATGAATGTATAAATTCTTACATATAAAGTCAGGGCAACTTCAGTTTGACATGCTTTGTACTTTGGCTTATACCTTTATAAAAGTACTTTTATTCTTTTATTTTTCTTATGTTTTAGTTCTTCTTTTTTTTTGACCTTCACCAGAATGTATGCTTTTCCTTTAATCTAAGTTTTTTTTACAAAAACTTTGTTAATAGACATAGAACTTACCCTGTTTCCCTATTCATTCAAATGTGATTTTTCTCTTAATGCTACAGAAGTTATATCAATTAGCTTTGTTTGTGTCTGCATAGTGGGTTTGTCTCATGATATACTAACATAGATGATACAAAACAATCTTAACATTTGATCCATATAGTGAGTCAGTGGTTGCGCAGTTTCAAAATGAGTTTGACTATTGAATGCGGTAAAATACCACAAAGATTTAACTCATGTCTGCATCCGCTAGTTATTTCTTAAAATGTTCTTTTGAGTTGAATCACACAAATTTTTTTCTCAAAATATATAAAAGTCTATCTTTAAGAAAAAAATAAAATAAAAATTTGTGTTTTAATCGTGTGTTAATTAAAAGTGGAAGATTAAAAAACTAAAATTGTTAAATATATTTATTATTATTATTATTATTATTAACATTCTACATTATTTAATTGTACGTTTTAGAATACACGTTAGAATATTTCACTAAAAAGGGGTGGCACGGTGGCTCAGTGGTTAACACTGTCTCCTCACTGCAAGAAAAGGTCAATGATTCAAGTCCCGTCTGGGCCAGTTGCCATTTCTGTGTGGAGTTTGCATGTTCTACCCATGTTTATGTGGGTTTCCTATAGGTGCTCTGATTTCCCCCACAAGTCCAAAGACATGTGGCACAGGTGAATTGAACATACTAAATTGGCCGTAGTGTATGAGTGTGTGTGAATAAGTGTGCATGGATGATTGCCAATACTGAGTTGTGGCAGGAAGGGCATCCGCTGCGTCAGACATATGCCAGAATAGTTGGTGGTTCATTCTGCTGTGGCAACCTCTGAAATAGAGACTAATCTGAAGGTAAATGGATGCATATTTCATTAAAGTTGTTATAAATAGTTTGAAAATGATTAAGCACAATTTTCATTGTTGCTTTGTTCTTGTGTACATTATTTATCTTTACCAAAATAAAAGGTATCCTTGTTAATATTTTTTTATTTATGGTTGTATATTTTAGCTTTATTTAATGAGCCTTAGCTGATATGGTCTCCCAGTAGCAGTTGCATGTTTAATTAAACAGCATTAGCAGAGATTAATAAATACTGTATTGCAAATGTATTGCAAGTTAATGTTATTTAATGCATCAATGTTTACTATAGGAACTTCACTGTAAACAATGCTGGGTTCCACATAATCGATTTGTGTTGGAACAACATGACGGAATTGAATTAACTTGTTACTAGTATAAATTTACAAATCTCCTCACATAAACAAGAATTGTGTTTCAGTTCATTTTAAATAAATAGTTTGATAACATATTAAAACTAATAAAATGTGTTTGTTGTAATTAATGTTTATTTGTAACTAGCACTAATTTGTAACACAAGTTTTTCATAATTGTATTTCATTATAAGTTCTAAGCTGATTTTCTATGATGTTTTCTATGAAACATTACAGCATTATTGCATGTTTATTAATAGCAATAATCACTCAAGATTATTTGTTTTGTTATAAACCAAAAATCATTTTTTTTATTTTTTGTAGAATGTATTGATTTATGATTTAATTTAGTGTGAAACCAATAACTTTTACTATAATATAATAATAATAATAAATATATATAGAGAGAGAGATACAGTACCTTCATGACAATATGGCCCTGTTTACACTGATACATTTTAGTTTTAAAACGGCGTTATAGAATGAAAACAATCCACGTCCACACTCGCCTTTAACCCAGCATTTCTGAACAACTCTCCATCCACACTACACCACAGAAAACGCACATCACGTGACCAAACACACACTCTAGCATGAAACTGCAGCAGTGAGAGCTGTACACGTCGGACTGTTCATCAATGAGCTACCGCTGGATCTAATCTCACTATATTTGTTAAACGTAATATTTAATTCATCTTGTTGTCTTTATCTAACGACATATTCCCTGACTTTGGTCTTTTGAATCTATTATTGTTCTCAGGTAATGTGTTTTGCCTTAACACAAAGATAAGTTCTTATATTATTGTAACCATGTACACTAATTCAGCTCATTTGACCGATTGCTTGCATTTATTTCCGATAATGTATAAACTTATTGTACGTCATACTTTTATAATGGCCATTATTGATTATTAAAACAGATATTCAGCAAAAGAGAGGGTATGTTTTGTATTTTCAATGAGAATGAAGGGAGGCAGTAATGTTATAGGCTGCGTTTTGTTATAAATATGCATACAGTGACGATGACTGTCATATAAAATATGTAGCTACACCACGATGCCTCAACGTTTCTGCTGTCTGCAAGTTAATATCGATATGAAAATCGACAGTTCCTTGTATCATGTTTTCATTTTATTGTTAAGAAAGTGAAACAATGTAGCCAGGGTGATGTGAATGAGGTTATAAAGTACACTGTTTTCTTTAAAGATTTATCTGACATGTCCTCAGGAGATTGTTTTCCATACTTGTAAAGTCTGAACTTCCAAGAAGACGATGCAAGACTGAACTTGTGCACCTAATATTGAGGAAAAGGTCCCAATCAGAGAGGCGAACGTTTTCAGATGTCTCCGGTTTCCCCCATCCACGCTGACACGGAGCAGCAGCGATTTAGGATGAAAAAAAAGCCTCTTCAGCGTTTTCAAAAAGCTCAATTCTCGGCACTTGAAAACTCTGGCGTAGTGTGGACGGATGGCGCAACCATAGCAAAACTTATGCGTTTTAAAACTAAAACGTATTAGTGTAGAGCTGCACAATTACTCAAAAAAAGATCGCGATCTCGATTCGACCCCCTAGACGATCTTAATCCAGCATTTCTGATTCTGCTAATCACATTTTCAAGTTCAGGAAGGAAGCTAAGGCGGCTGCACGAGAATGATGTTTAAAGAGTTACGAACTGTATTTATAGGGTATAACTCACCTAAAAGTGTAATTTTTGTTTTCATATAATACTGTATTCGCGGCTGGGAAATCACACGTGACGTGAGCTGTTACCACACAGAGAGAGAGGGCGAGCGCGCGCTGTGCTTAATAATAGACGCGCTTGTCTACTTTAGTAAACAGAACCTGCATAGGCTGTGAAGAACAGGTAATAAAGTTGTAAATAATATTCAGTATGAACAGCATGAACAGTATGAACAGCACTTAGTAGTGAAAATGAAACCGAAAGCGTGCACATCATTTAAATAATCATATCGCATTTTAGAGTTATGTATGCGACAAGCATTTGATGTTTTTTTCTTTCATTTCGGACACACAGCTGTGCATGACAATAAATGTTTACAGTGTCAGTATAACTACTCTAGCCTTTATAATGTTGATTTTTACCAGTGAATAAAATGGTCTAATAATGTTGTCACTGACAGATTGCAAGCATAGGCCTATATCTCAAACATTATTCAACATCAGAATTATTATAAGTAGAATAGAATTATTTATAGAAACCAGCAGACCTACACATAATATTATTGTTGTTTTACCACATGTTTGAGGAAAAACAATAATAATTGCAGACCTGTATTAACCTTTATTTTACATCTACAGAATCGTGAGAAAATCGTGATCTTTATTTTAAGCAAAAAAAAATCGTGATTCTCATTTTAGCCAGAATCGTGCTGCTTTATATTAGTGTAAACGAGCCTAAAACATGTTGTAATTTATCATCTTGAAGGTATTGTTAAAATGAACAAACTTTTAAGCAAAAAGTATTTTATTACTATATTATTATATTCTATTATTTATTATTTGGTCACACTTTACAATAAGGTTCATTAGTTAATGTAAAGTAATGCATTTACTAACATGAACAAACACTGAACAATACATTTACTACAGTATTTATTAATGTTAATAAACGTTAGTTAATGAAAATACAGTTGTTCATTGTTAGTTGATGTTAACTCATGGTGCATTAACTAATGTTAACAAGCATGGACTTGAATGTTAATAATGCATTAGTAAATGTTCAAGTATGATTAATAAATGCTGTTCAAGTGTTGTTCATGATTAGTTCATGTTAGTAAATGCATTAACTAATGAACCTTATTGTAAAGTGTTACCTATTATTTTCTTAAAGGTGAAGTCAGTAGCATGTGAATACATACTGTACATAAGATGTACTCTAAATTCCAAATAACCCTGGATAAAATATGCATGCTATTCACTTCAAGCCTTAAAACCCATCAAAAACCTCCTGGTTGACTATGTTTGATGTCATAAATTCATGCTTGTCATGTTTGCTGTTGTTTACCGATAGCTTTTAAAATGGATATTTTTAAATAGGGAGAGCCTGACCTAAATCCAGAGCTTCAGAGTCTCTGAGCGTAATCTCTAAGCCCTGTCAACCTAGTTCTCAGCAGCATATAGGCCAGGCTGTGATGTCATATATACACACACCAACCGCTGTGATCTTCCCATCAGATCTGTCAGATGAGCTTTAAAACGGCCTACTCACTGCCGTTCACCTAAACTACCTCATGGATGAGAGCGTTCATTCATCCGTGTGCATGAATGAAAGTGCAGTTCAGAAGCAGTGGCATGAGTTTTATAAATGGCAATGAAATCATGATGATAGTATTTTTTTCAATCTCAGGTATCTTGCAACATCCTGATGGTACGGTTCTGAAACAGCTGCAGCCTCCTCCAAGAGGACCCAGAGAGATGCAGTTCTACAGCATGGTGAGATCATATAGAAAAGTATAGAGTTAAAACTAAATATGCAACAGGAGCTTGTAACTGTAGAGTACACCATACAGAAAAACACATTATGTATAATAACAGTGACACAAGAAGTTACTGAACTACTGGAATTTGATTAATAATCATAACTGGCTTTTTTATTATCACTGCTTAAAGACGCCTCTTGTATGGGCAATAGAGTCTCATGCATTGCTCGAGTTTGAGTTTTAATTGAAAATTAACAGTCTAAAAATCTTGATTGTTCTGCGGGTCTCTATTCTATGCACTCTGATCTTTAGTTTTTGTGTTCTATTGGGTTTAGGTCAGGCGATTGGGGTGGCCATTCCAGCAGTTATTATCTTTTCTGAAAGTAGCTGTGAGAGTGAGGGTTTCCTTGGCTGTGTTTACATGGACATCAGTAATCTAATTATTTGCCTTTATCTGAATAAGACAATAAGTGGTTAAGGTATTTGCATGAGTTGCTTTTTGAATGTTCCTTATTTTCAATTGGGTTCAGGTCAGGGGATTGGCCAGGCCATTCCTGCAGCTTTATTATATTTTCTGATGCTGCTTTCACATCAGATGTGGAAGAAGCGTCAAGCCCGAGTGGTTTAGATGTTAATGAATGCAAAAGTGCGAATAGACATCCTGCGGCGTGATGTGCGTGAATAAGGCAACGCGAATGACGCAGGTCGTGCAAATGAAGTGGCGCGAGTTGCTTAGTGCGTTTCGCGTGAATCGCTCTTGTTCGAAAATCTGAACTTCAGCATACATTCGCGCCACGTTAACCAATCAGGAGCTTTCTCTTGTAGGGGCGTGCTTATGACGTAGTGCCTGTTGTTAGTGTCCTGGGGGGGAAATCCTCCTGCCGACACCGGACAACAGTTGATCAAACTGGGCTCGGTTCAGTTAGAAACACTGCTGAAAACTTCCAAACTTCCAAAACTTTAGGCATTAAGTTTTTGGATGAGTTGAACTCACAGAGCTGGGTGCATCTTTGAAAGGATCTAGTGGACTCAGACACTGCTCCAAATGAATCAACGCTGTTTTTCAGCCTTCATTATGCACAAACACAACTATTCTCTCAATAAAATCCATGTTAGCCATTTAGCAACAAAGCTACAGTCACAAGGCAGACAGAAGCCCTGCCCATCACAAAAATCCCCGTCTGTTGTGAAGTGAGTTTGACACGCGAATGAAGCTGATTTTGATGCGTGAATGAAGCGAGTAAACTCAATGTTCTGGCGTCTATTTATGCGAGAATTTCATGGTTTATCCATGCATTCTGCGTCTGGTGTGAACACAGCGTAAAATTAATTGAGAGTTTCCTTTGTTGTATTTGGGGTCAGTGACTGTTTACATGGACATCGGTAATCTTAATTGTTTGCCGTAATCTGAATAAGACAATAAAATGATTAAGATGTTTACATGAGTTGCTTTTTAAATGTCCCTTATTTTCTATTGGGTTTAGTTCAGGGGATTGCTCGGGCCATTCCAGCAGTTTTATTATCTTTTCTGAAAATAGTTGAGAGTTTCCTTGGCTGTGTTTGGGGTCAGTGACTGTGTTTACAAGGACATCAGTAATCTAATTATTTACCTCAATCAATTTATTGTCTTATTCTGATTAAGGTGTTTACATAAGTTGCTTTTTGAATGTTCCTTATTTTCTATTGGCTGTTTAAGGTCAGTGATTGTGTTTACATGGACATCAGTAATCTAATTATTTGCCTTAATCTGAATAAAAAAATAGTATGATTACGGTGTTTACATAAGTTGCTTTTTGAATGTTCCTTGTTTTCTATTGGGTTCAGGTCAGGGTATTGGCTGGGCCATTCCAGAAGCTTTATTATCTTTTCTGAAAGTAATTGAGTTTTCTTTGGCTGCGTTTGGGGTCAGTGACTGTTTACATGGACATCAGTAATCTAATTAGTTGCTTTAATCTGAATAAGACAATAATGATTAATGTGTTTACATGAGTTGCTATTTGAATGTTCCTGTCATGTTCCCATTTTACTGTACGAGTTATTGTACATAGTTTGGCAAAAGTCATTATGTCACTATTCAGTGATAGTTTCTAGTAGGCGTTTTACGCAACAACAGTTTGTGTACGTCATTGCATCATTTGTAATTGTGGGTGTTTTCTTTTTTTTTATTTAACATCAAGTTCTACTGCAGCTAATTTCTTACACTATGCATGCAAACATGATGGCGGAGACAAATTCTCAAGCACCTCTGCCATGTCATTCACTAACTTTTCATTCATGCCCCCGTGACAAACTCAGAGGTACTTCATAATGTCCATTTTTTCCAGGGTTCTCAGCATAGTCAGCATAGTGTTTCCTGCTCACACCAAAAATGTGCTCTCTTGTTTGAAACCATTCTGATTGGTTTGTCTTCAAACGCTACAAAAATGTAACAGTACTACAAAATGGTAATAGTTTTGTTAATGTGTCTGTATTGCACTTTAATAATGCAATTAAAATGGGAATACTCCACATGTTTTAATTAGACTTTTTAGTTTGATTATGACTTCAGTTAGATTAAGGTCATCAAAACTTGCTGTTTGCAAAGTAGACTCTTCAGGGTATTGTCTTAATCGTATTAAATTGGTGTTCATGTAAACAAACTCGCTGTCTTGCTGAAACGTCCACCTTGGTTTCATAGTCCTCATCTTGTAATGAAGATCTTAGACACAACAGAAGCAGTTGGTATTCATTTACATTGACGCGGGGCAGGTGCTGAATAACCACTGAGGGATTTCAGCTGCTGTCTGGGCTTTCCATGTTTTTTTGCACCTCCCCTTTTTCATGTGTTCAATACATTTTCCTTGCGTCATTTATTACACAACTTAAATTCTAAATAATTTTTTGGTTGTATGAATGGATTATATTGGTTGTTACTGACATCTGGTGAAAATTTCAAGTCAACAGCACTTTTAAAAATACATTTTAAATACTAGATACAAGCCGATGAGTGAAAATATATCTGCACATCAAGCACTGCTGAGTAAGAAGCTAAGTTTATTAGCCAATAGCTAACGAGACACATTATGCCACCAAAGCATACAATTTGATGGCATGTGAGTGATTTCACTTGCATTTTAGAGGGTTAATGTTTACACAGTCTAACTAAAGTTTCAGTACTATTGAAATTTGCTTTTATTATTATTTATTTTTATATGTTTTGTTTGTTTAACACTAGGTGTATGCTGAAGACAGCTGTGACCCCTGTCTGGTAGACCTCCAAGCGCACCTTCCCAAATACTATGGCACATGGTCCTCCCCAGATGCCCCGACAGGTAAACAGATGAGCGGCTGGATGTAAGAAGTGAATATGTGTAGGCTATCAGTAAGCATCTCTGTTTTCTGTCCTCCCCAGACCTGTACCTTAAGCTGGAGGACGTGACGCGCAGATTTCAGAAGCCGTGCATCATGGACGTGAAGATCGGCCAGAGGAGCTACGACCCCTTCGCTTCACAGGAGAAACGCGAACAGCAGATCAGGAAATACCCGCTGATGGAGGAGATCGGCTTCTTGGTTCTGGGCATGAGGGTATGTTTATGTCTTTTAAATGGGGTATATGAACAGCTAATGATTTCAGCCAACGATAAACTTCAGGTGAAAGGTTCATGTGACTGTTATCAATTTCATACGGTATCTTTTACAACATCAATGTTGTAATGTCATTAACATACAATCAGATAAATAGACTTAACTTCATTTAGTTGTTCAAACATAAAACGAGATGAAAGCATGTAAACGCTAGAGCCATCAGGAGCAGCATGCTAGAGCAGAGACTCCATTTTAATTTACTAAGGTAAAATACATCTCGTATACATATTATGACAGGGATACTCAACTGATTTGGCCATGGGACCCACATTTTTACATCATCATCAAGCCACGAGCCAAATTTTTTGGAACTAATAATACAATTTTAGGAATTATACTTAATTTGTATTTATTTGTTAACATAAACAAGTAGTGACAGATACATCATAAGAAATTCACCAAGACTTTAAATAAACACTATTTTATTCCTCTCATTTAACAAAATGGATCAAATTATAGAAATATTACAAAGTAAAAACGACAAATAGTATTAATAATAAACTGTTCATAAAACATGTTTTCTGGTTTCTAAATGTTTTAATTTAGGTAAATTAATTAAATTTAATAAAGGTTTCATGCTCTCTTATGAGAGCACCTCACTACATATGACACTGAGGCTTTAAGTCTTTTTTGTCGTCAATATATATATCCATACTTTATATATTAGGGGTCGTACTTGCGCTTCGACTTATTTGTTCCAATAATTTAATAAATTTTCACATGTGGAACGGTTGTCGCACACACATTTCAAAATAAAAGTCCGGTATAAGCAAAATAAGTAAAAAATTTAACTCTTGTTGTTTTTTTTGACCACACACTCCGCGACCCACTGAAAATGTTCCTGCGACCCACTTTTGGGTCGCAACCCACCATTTGAGAAACACTGTTTTATGATGATGATGACACTCAAGGTCACCGTACAGGACAGCCAGAACAATCAGTTCAAATAAAAACACAATAAAAGACAACAGAATACTATACAAATTTAAAAATGCAGTCGGGTTAAAGAGAAGAAGCTGTTCTAAACAGATGTGTTTTGAGTTTGGATTTAAATTGTGAAAGAGAGTTTAAATTACGGAGATCAGGAGGAAGTGAATTCCAAAGCTGAGGAGCAGAGTGGCTGAAGGATCTGCTCCCCATGGTGACAAGGCGGACAGAGGGAACAGTGAGGTGAATGGAAGAAGAAGACCTGAGTGTTCGAGAAGGTGTGGTGATATGAACAAGATTAGCAAGGTATGGAGGAGCAAGATTGTGGATGGCTTTAAAAGAGAGAAGAAGTATTTTATAATTGGTTCTGAAAAAGACGGGAAGCCAGTGAAGCTGTTGTGGAATGGGTGTGATATGACAAATAGAGGGGTTTGATGTGATAATACTGGCTGCAGCGTTTTGTACCAGTTGTGATTTATGAAGAGTTTTACTAGGGAGGCCAAACAGAAGGAAATTACAGTAGTCTGAATGGGATCTGACTAAACTATGAACAAGAATGGCAGCTGAATAAGGTGTGAGGGAAGGACGTAAACGGTTTATATTTTGAAGGTGGAAATAAGCGGTGCAGTGAATGAAAGTGTGCTGTCGAAGATGACCCCCTGACTCTTAACCTGGGAGGGGGTGATGACAGAATCATCTGTGGGAATAGAAAAGCTATGTGATTTGTTTAAAGTGGATCGGTTACCTATAAGTAGAAGTTTGGTTTTATTGTTGTTTAATTCCGGTTCACCTCAAACGTCCTGAAATTAATGAAGGATGAAGGTGGGAGTTTGAGGTTGGGTTTGGTTGATAGGTAGAGCTGGGTGTCATCTGCGTAGCAATAAATGGATTTGGTGTTTGCGGAAAATAGAACTAAGTGAAATAAGGTAGATGATAAATAGCAGGAGACCCAAAACTGAACCCTGGGGCACACCGGTAGTGACAGGGACTGATGACAAGGTGAAGGACTTTAATTGAATGAACTGAGTGCGACCTGAGAGGTATGAATGAAAGATGATATTATAATGACATAGTGAGTAAAAATGGAATTTAATGCAGTGTTCATGTCTGGTCTGAAACAAACTTTATTTTTTAAGTCAATCAGGCAGGGAAGATTACTGATATTTATAGAAAACAGATCTTAAACTTGATGATGTTGTAACGGTGCAACAGTTCACTAGAAGCGCTTGGGCTGGCTGATTGAAAATTAAGGGGGGTTCTGTGTACGCAGTGTTTCATACATCGGATTTTTTTTCGGCATATGCACTTTTACAGCTTTGTGTGTACGCAATGTTTTAGTATGATTTCATGGGTTCGTACATGAGGCCCCTGGTGTGAACGCAGCATAACATTATTAAAGTAATTGAGAAATTGAGTAATCAAACGTAAAATAACATGGTCGTCATTGTATAGATAACTTTTGTAATATTATTTTTAATAAATAATTTAATCATGCGATGTGAACAGTGCAGGTATACACATTGCAATATTGTAATACTATATTGTTCAGCCCTAGTACAATGGATACTCAAGTTACTCACAAGTACGCTTTACTAGTTCTGCATCAATAATAGTTACTTGTTACACTTAGAAATTTAAACTATGATATTTAACACAATTTTGTTTTACAAAAGTAGGACATTTTAACCAAACTATTGTGATTATTAAAGTATTTTAAATATAAATAAATTTTAATTAATAATAATTTATAAAGTTATCAGCTTTAATTAGTTTTTGCAGCCCTGCTTTCAGTCATATTTAGTAGTGCTTTTTTCATTTTGAGGTTGTTGCCTGGTTCAAACAAGACGAACGTGTTTGAGGTGTTAGGTGCATGTTAAGAGACTTGTAAATAATGTGGTGGTCGTGTTTTCGGTGTATTGTGAAGCCGAAGTGCTGGGGTTGAGGTGTCAGATTGGCTTTATGCTGTGGAAGAATAGTGTCAGACTCACCTAACACGTTCAGAGGTGGTTCTTCCACTCTCTAGCAGCCTCTCTATTTCCTGTATGCAATCCAAACAGCTCGCCATTGTCCTCTATCCAAAGTCAAGAGGCAGTGCCTGAGGGCAAGATTTTTGTTTTTTAAAAAGGCTGCAATTACTTCACTAAAGGGAATGGAATTGTTGTGTAATGTCATAATTGAATATGAATATTTTCTTTTGTGGATTTTAAAATGTCTAGTGCAGGGGTCTCAAACTCAATTTACCTGGGGGCCGCAGGAGACAAAGTCTGGGTGAGGCTGGGCCGCATAAGGGATTTCACAAAAAAAAGTCCTCAAATGTCATTATTAACAGTTTTAATTATTTCTTCTGAACATGAAGTGTCCTGAACATTAATAGAACATTGAGTGAAGATTATGAACAGTTCTTCTGAACATGGCATCTTTTGCCTACTCCTTGCTGCAAGAGACTTGACAGCGCTTCTTCTCACAAATCTGAACCACATTTGGCTTTAGAGCGGAAGCAGTTGTGACCCTCAGTATGGCTTGAATATGATCATCAAGTCTAGACCTGTCTAGACTCACTCAAAACATCCATTCCCTCACCTAAAAAAATGGCGTATATATGTATAAATAAAACACCCCCACCCCACTCCAGTCACATCAGTCTGTGCCAGTCTGTATCTACCTATAATATATATAAGATGCAGGCTGTAGCTAGGTAGGTGGCAGGCTGCAGATAGGTAGCTAAGTGGCAGGCAGGGGCGGGAACAGCTTACCTTGGTTCTGGCCGGCGCGAGTTCCCTCCTAACACTTCCCGCCCGTCACAGCGTCTTACAAAGGGGCGGGGTGCGTGGTGACTGGCATTCCCCGCCCACCGTGTAAACAAAGGGGCGGGGAATGCCAGTGACCGCTGTGTACGGATAGAATCAGCGGAACGGGGAGCGATCTTTATTAACTGAACACCACTGTCAATATCGATAGAAAAAGATTCTGTATGTAGTTTCTGTATGAAGGCTATAGTTTTATTAAAGTGTGGCTGCTGAGTGCGTGGAACTTGCACAGCGTGCACATTAGAGCGACGTGCACATGTTATGCATGCAGCGCACATATTTTCCAGCTGCACCTAGTTGAAAACATATAAACTTTACCAAATGCTATGAGCATGTCGTGAGCGCACCGCGATTCATGCAAGTACAACTATCCAATTTACACATTTCCGTATAGCAGCAGTGAGGAGATTGTACATAAAATAGGATGTAAGGATGTGGCTTTTTGTTTGTGTTTTCTTTTCTTGTGCATCCCAGCCACTAGCACCCCATCTGAAAGATTTTTTTTGACATAAGGGGTATTATAGTCATTCAACTTCACAATTTGTAATGTTCAGTATGTATTTGACCTTACCACTTTGTAACATTTTATTCATCTTATTCATTTTATTCATTTATTCATAAGTATTTTTGTGTTTGACTGTTAAAACTATTTGCCTTAGTAATGCTGGTAAATTAAAATGAAGTGATTAAATTAAATAAAGTATTCCTAAATGGATTGTTAAAAAATATTAAATAATTATCGATGTCGAATGATATGAAACATGATATCGTGATAATGTTTTTCGCAATATCGCCCAGCCCTAACAATAAATCACTTTAAATTATTAAAACTGTAAAAATATAAGTCACTTTTTTTTTTTTAAGTTTTCAAGGATAAAAGTTGTTGAAATAAAGATTACATAATGCAATCCAAAAGCATAAATAAATGGAGAAAAATAAAAAATAAAGTGATGAATCTCAAAATATGGAAAACTGCAATTTTACCGATATTTTATATACAATGTAGTTAATAAAAATTCAACAGCCATTACTCCAGTCTTCATAATCCTAGTAGCATAATCCTTAATCGGAGGCCATATTTACGACTACATAAATGGTCTGTTCACACAAAAAAGAAATTTCTGTTAATATTAACTCGCCCACATGCCATTTTAAAACATTAAGACCTTCATTCCTCTTCAGGATTACAAATTGACATATTTTAGA